TTTTTAAAATAGTGTTTACGTGTCAAAAGGAAGAGACTGGCTGCCCACAACACAGGGAATCCTAGTGTAGGGGCCAGTGCGCTTTACTTTATCTAAATATCTTGTATATTGTGCATAATAAAGTTTTTTCTTTCTTTCTTTCTTTCTTTTCTAGATTATAATATTTTAAGATAGACAATATAAAAAAGTAATAAACTTGCCAGGCCAATAAAATATTCAGAATTTAGAACGTTTTATTAATAAAATAAAGTATATGGGTTTTAGTTAATAATTAATACCTATAGGTGTTGCATGATAAATATACAAGTATCGATTATTGTCGGATCGGATATAGTGGAGAAGCGCAATCCGGCCTTCCGATATTTTTCTCATGACTCATTCCGGTATCCGACGCCGGACCGGAGCAGAGGAGAAAGGGCCTTAGACGTTTATTTGAAGATCCCTTCAGGCTTCAACAATCGCCACCAAACTTCACTCGGTTTTATAAAGTGATAGTGGGCGTTTTCCAATTACAGCACTAGAGCGCATGCGGCATAATGCTCAACGCTGAATGTTCCAACTACAACAACGCTTCGCACAATTGAGCACTCCCAAAAGTAATGCTCTCGCGTGATACTCGCAATCAATACCAACACGTGACAGTAAATTGACTAGTGTTTTTTCTTTAAGTTGGCATTGATCGAAATTATCGTTAGTAAATATTATTTATTGTTGAAAAATTTGTAAGGCTTCGTTTCGTCGTAGATTTTGGAAATAATTAAAGTTATTTCAAACTGCTAAAAAAATAAATATGAGTATGGATGAAGGTATAAATAGTGACTTTTTTTATATTCCACATTTAAAATATGAATACAATTTCATTTTAAAATTCGGATCAGGAAGGATTATACTTTTGTAAACATTGTAATGGTTTTGAAAAAGTATATAACTAGTTTAGAAACCATTTTATAAAAATTACTCAAAACGTAAATGATGTAAACTTCTTACATGAGACTAAATATTTTTCTGTTAATTTAGCTTATTAAAACCTTATATTCTTTAAAGGTTTTCTCTTATTTCAGTAAAAAATGTTAATGAAATAATGACGACTCATTGGTCTCGTGGTTAGTACCCCTGACTGCGAACCCATGGGTCCCGGGTTCGATCCCCGGCTGAGACAAACATCGATGTGATGAGCATTTGGTGTTGTGCTTAGGTCTTGGGTGTTTAAATATGTATTTATATGTCTATCTATCTATAATATGTATGTATATCCGTAGCATGGGACTAGGTCAATTGGTGTGAATTGTCTTTAAAAAAAAAATCCAAATTACTTAGAAATAAGCGTAAATAGTTTTCAACCAATTCTTATTATTGTTTACCACATTATTTATACATTAATGAGGTTGCTAATTCTATTCAGAACATTTTTTTTCAACACTGACTTAGCGCACTCTGCTGATGCATTTGAAAACTAATTCACGTTCCAAATTCCAATTAAGCTTCAGCAATCAGCATAATGCGGCCAGCGGCATTGTGCGCCACTGAGTCGCATTATGGTCATTGCTCTTTAATTGGAAAACTTTAAACTATTAACTAGGGTCTAGGAATAATCCTTATGACTGAAATATAATATATAAATCAGTCATATTCTACATTATGGCCTTCCTTGATGAAAAATATACAAATAATAAAATAATTATTATGTAAATCGTTAAAATAATAGTTTTTTATATCTTCTAGCGAACATATTTTGTAAGCGCGTTTCACATTACATGTAGCGACATCTCTGGTCAGAGGTGGATGTTATGAACAGCGGTGCCACGATTATTGTTATTATTATTATAGCCTCTTTATTTCCATAGTGAATAGTATATTAAACTAGCTGACCCGGCAAACGTTGTTTTGCCATGTACCTATATTATTTCTAGGAAACATTTTTTAGTTCAATAAAAATAACTATCTACTATAATAAAAATAGGGGTTAATCGTAGAGGGGTGAAAATTTAGGGTTGTATGTATTTTTTTATGGCACGTTATAAAAAAACAATTAAAATTTCGTGCAAAAAATAAAAATATAATGTTAGGGGTGGACAACCCCTATCACTAATAGACTTATAGATAATAGACTTCTCAGACTTACTGAATATGAATATAAAATTGTATAAGAATCGGTCGAGCCGTTTCGGAGGAGTATGGGAACGAACATTGTGACACGAGAATTTTATATATTTGTCAAGTTTATGTAATCTCATTCTGTAATATTCTAATTATGAAATGAAATACAGACTTGTTGGTGTATAGCGCCTGAACTTATTAAATAGCAACTACGCAGCATGTGGCATATGTACTATAAGCGGAACAAGGCGTATTTTAACTATCAATTTTTCATGGTCATTCCGATTACACCATCCAAACACGATATCTAACGACAAATTAAAAGCCATACGGCAAAGCAAACATCAGATTTCGGTAAAAAAACCGCCTTCTCCGGGAAGGTGGCTTTCATACTTCGCTCACTCCAGTGAACTTCCGTTCTCTCCTTCAGGTGATTGACCAGACCCCGCGACGGTCTTATGCCGAAGTCCGAGTCTCGCAGAAGGCACGCTGGCCCTAGTCGCTGGAAGACGTCCATTCCGGCCAAGCTACGCTCGCCAAAACAACCCGAGCTGAGCTGTGAAGGCCCTTTAGGGGGTTAGGGATCCACCCCCCTGCTCCACTATGTAGCTATGGGCAGTAGGAATGAGAAACTTTTCTCCTCCAGAATTGCGTCTCCTCAAAATCAACTGAAGCCATTTAAATGAACCTTTAATGGTTGCCTAAAAAGACATCTTCTTTTCTGAGAAATATCCAGACATACACTTAAAAAAAAACAAACAGAATATCTATTCTTTATTTATAAAAAACAATCTTGCATATACTAATTTAGGCTGTATTTATACATGGTAACATCCTTCAGCAACGTTTTGACTTGGATGACATTCGGAAGACGTTAAAAATAAAAGAAGCCTCATCCATACTTTAATGACGTCATCGATACGAAATCCACGATTACAGCAAATGGAATTTAATGTATCGATTCGTTTATTAATGTATGAATAATTTAAATTAAATCAGGTACACAAAATTAGGAATGACAAACTAATATAATTGACTAAAGGCAAATAAATAATTAATTCTTTAAATAAAAAATATTAATAATTTAAATACAAATAAAACCAATTCAAAAATACTGTTATGGTAACAAATACAGAACATAAAATAGTTTTATTCAATGCACTATGGTAACAAACAATTCCAATGGCAATCTATTAATTAATATTTAAAACAAAAGCTAAATTCACGTTCTATTTTCAAATAATACTGATATCTTGAAAAACAGAAGTACTGAAATCCTGCATCCGTGAAAACAAAAATAATATAACAAATATAGAAACAAAATATTAATTTTATGGAATAAACAATTCCATTTTCAAGTATTCACGGCTAATACTGTAATTCTACATTTAAATTTATAATACTCAAAGTTAAATCTAACATTCGAACGCAATTCCAAATTCAAACAAGCTACCGCAAACACATTGGGCGTGTTCGGCCGAAGTAAGTACTTACTAAATTTAGTAAGTCACTTACTATGCTTACAAAATTTTCGGCCGGGACACAAAATAAGTGCTAACGCAGTAAGTATGGCTTAATATACGACGCCATTTTGCTTATTGTTGATGTAAACAAAACGGACGATAAAATATCCAATAAAATATTTCTCATAAAATTATCCATTTGAAACTATTCACAGGTATTAAATTATATTCCTAAATTTAGTACTGTCAATTATATTCAGTCTATGAGGTTATGTACGGGATATGACATAAACCGGTGTTTTGTGTTATGTTAATGAGCCAGTAAGTCTGTCCTGGCCGAAAAGCGCTACAGTCAGCTTGTAAGACTTTAATTTTTTTATGCTTACTGGCTTACTAAGTTTAGTAAGTACTTACTTCGGCCGAACACGCCCATTCTAAATTCAAGCGTCAAATTAAATTCTATTCAATACATGTTCTTTTTTTTAAAAGTTATACCTATGTTCGGCTTAAATAGACTAACATAATATATCATTTCTTACCATATAACGCACTACTAATAAACATATAATTAAAATTAAATTAATCCATACATTCCAAATTCAAACAATATTCTATATTCAAGTAAGGCTCTTGTATTATTTTCAAATATCCTTTATTTACTTACATATTGACTGTGTGTATCGGTAATAGTTCGGTTTGAATGGAAAAACTTTTCTCCCTGCATATTTCTTACATACAGCAACACTAATTTACGTATAATTTATATAAAATTTAATCATACGTTCCAAATTTAAAAACATTGCAATACATAAAAACGCAAGCGTCGTCTAAATTAGCCAAATTATGCTATTCCATTTTCAAATTTAAATTCTTTCGGTGTAATTTAAATAAAATTCAATCATACGTTCTAAATCTAAACGCACTGCATAGATTAGAAAACGCATTTAAAGCGTCAAATAAAATACTATATCCAAATAATTAGCTTTTCCATTTTGACATTGACATTACGTAATTTAAATTATATTCTATATAGTCCATACGATCTAAATTCAAAAGCACATTAATAAACAATTCATAGCGACAAATAAAATGCTATATTCTAAACTGTTCCATTTTCAAACATCGAACTTTTTAATACAATATTATAGTAGTTTAGTATAAAACTTTCTAAATTTAAAAGTTTTCAAACATATTCGATTAAGAAAACGCAAATTAAATTCTATACTCAAATAAAAATGTTCCATTTTCAAACATCTTGCTTTTTAAACAATTGCAGTTAAAATTGTATGGAACATTCCAAAATTAAAAGCTTTGCAATACATTTGATTAAGGAAACACAAATAAAATTCTACATTCAAATTAAGCTGTTCCATTTTCAAATATCGAAGCGTTGGGCGTCCTCTTCCGCGATTCCCGCGTTTTAGCCCCGTTTTGTTTGTGCTAGTATCTGTAGTAGTTCGGCTTGAACGGACCGACTTTATTGAGGCCAAGATATTTTGCCTGTTCGTCTGTTAGTTCCGTCAAATGAGCGTCAAATGTCGGTAAATGTAGTGATGCGACGTATTCGTCCATTTTCTTCGGTAGGAGGTAGACGTCAGCCTATAAAAGTTAATTAATTAATTACAATATGCTGTTTTGAAGGCCGGCAACGCACTGGCGAGCACTCTGGAATTGAGTGTTCGTGGGCGGTATCACTTAACATCAGATGAGCCTCCTGCCCGTTTGCCCACTGTTAAATAACAAAAAAGCCGGCAACGCACTCGCGAGCCCTCTAGAATTGAGTGTCCATGGGCGGTATCACTTAACATTAGATGAGCCTCCTGCCCGTTTGCCCACTGTTATATAACAAAAAAGCCGGCAACGCACTCGCCAGCCCTCTGACATTGAGTGTCCATGGGCGGTATCACTTAATATCAGGTGAGCCTCGTGACTGTTTGCCTGTTACTTAAAAAAAAGGAAAAAAAATGACAGCAGACAGCTGACAGTGAAATTAAAGCCATATTTTTAGTTCAATTTTTTTTACCGAATAAACCGACAACGAAAAAAAGAAGAAGTATATTCATCTACAAAAATATATATCTCACCTTATATCTATGCTGTGGCGCGTTATACAGCTCGATCAGCGCCAAGGCCTGGGTGGCAGCTGTTACGGAGACCACGAAAGACGGCAGAGAGGAACAACAGAGATTGGCGAGGCGGCCCTCCGCTAAAAGGACTATGCGTTTATCGTTCGGCCAGATTATGTGGTCCACCTTTGGGGAATAGGACTGATTATAGCTTATTGAGTACTCTGTATAATTACTAAAGTTCGCTAAAATACTTGAAAGTTCACTAAAACACTTAAGAGTTCATGAAAGTACTTTAAAGTTCATTAAAGTAGTAGTTTTTTTTGTATTTTTTATAGAACTGAGGGCAAACGGGCAGGAGGCACACCTGAAGTTAAGTGATACCGCCGCCCATGGAGACTCAACGGCAGAAGGCTCGCGAGTGCGTTGCCGGCCTCTTAAGGAATTGGTACGCTCTTTTCTTGAAGGACCCTAAGTCGAATTGGTTCCCTAAGTTCATGAAAACATGGAAATAAAATAAAAATATTAAGTTAATAATAACTCACAAAACGCTCCCAGATTCGATGCACGCTTGTAAACAATCTCTTAGCCCGTCAAATAATGAATTATTCACGTCTATTTACAAGCATGTTACGTCACAGGTGCGACGCCATCTTGTTTTGCAGTTGCACGAAACTTCTTGCTATACATAGTTACACACACATTGCCACCTGTCATTTGCTGTCTTGTTGTCCATAAAAATTTATATAAGTTCCATAGTCAGTCAGCAAGACGAGACGGTACTTCACATGGAGTACTGTTCTCACCTCTGTACCAGTACCAGCTCCTTCTACTTGACCTTATTCAACGTGTATAACCAGCCTATTGAAGTATTTCCGAACCATTTCGACTTAGGACAAAGAGCGCACCTATTCCTAAAAGGCCGGCAACGCACTCGCGAGCCCTCTGGCGTTGACTGTCTATAGGCGACAGGTATTTCGACTTAGGGTCCTTCAAAGAGCGCACCAATTCCTAAAAGGCCGACAACGCACTCGCGAGCCCTCTACATTGACTGTCTATAGGCGACAGGTATCTTGACTTAGGGTCCTTCAAAGAGCGTACCAATTCTTTAGCCCTCCAGTTAAATTAAAAAAGAAATACTCACTTGACTCCTAACCCGTTCCCATAACAGATCTGGTGTTCTCAACGCGTGGACATCAATTTCTGTATTGCTGTGACCCATGTTGCACACGATGCAGCCGTTCTTCATACGCTCCATGTGCTCACGTGTCACGACGCCCTTATTGCCCGTCGCTGTGATCACTACATCCACTTGTCGTATCACCTGTTGAATGAAGATGTTTTTCAATACACACTGTTGTTTAATGAATTAGTGATGAAAGGAAATAATTAATGAATATGTTTTTCAATCCACGCTGTTGTTTAATGAATTACCGATGAATAGAAATAATGTTTGAAGATGTTAGTCAATCTACACTGTTCTTTAATGAATTAGTGATGAAACGAAATAATTGATGAAGATGTTTTTCAATATACACTGTTCTTTACTGAATTAGTGATGAAACGAAATAATTGATGAAGATGTTTTTCAATATACACTGTTCTTTAATGAATTAGTGATGAAACGAAATAATTGATGAAGATGTTTTTCAATATACACTGTTCTTTAATGAATTAGTGATGAAACGAAATAATTGATGAAGATGTTTTTCAATATACACTGTTCTTTAATGAATTAGTGATGAAACGAAATAATTGATGAAGATGTTTTTCAATATACACTGTTCTTTAATGAATTAGTGATGAAACGAAATAATTGATGAAGATGTTTTTCAATATACACTGTTCTTTAATGAATTAGTGATGAAACGAAATAATTGATGAAGATGTTTTTCAATATACACTGTTCTTTAATGAATTAGTGATGAAACGAAATAATTGATGAAGATGTTTTTCAATATACACTGTTCTTTAATGAATTAGTGATGAAACGAAATAATTGATGAAGATGTTTTTCAATATACACTGTTCTTTAATGAATTAGTGATGAAACGAAATAATTGATGAAGATGTTTTTCAATATACACTGTTCTTTAATGAATTAGTGATGAAACGAAATAATTGATGAAGATGTTTTTCAATATACACTGTTCTTTAATGAATTAGTGATGAAACGAAATAATTGATGAAGATGTTTTTCAATATACACTGTTCTTTAATGAATCAGTGATGAAACGAAATAATTGATGAAGATGTTTTTCAATATACACTATTCTTTAATGAATTAGTGATGAAAGGAAATAATTACTATGTTTTTCAATCCACACTGGTATTTCATGAATAACCGATGAAAGGAAATAACTTTTAGGCCTCATACCTCAGTTAATTTGACAACTCTGAAGCCATCCATTGCTGCTTGAAGGGCGCAAATAGGATCTATTTCCGTCACATACACCTGGAACATATTAAATTAATATTTATGATAATGCTGTAATAATCACATCCACACACCGCACCAACCGTCACTTAACTTACCACAGATCCCAGAGCCTTGAGCGCCTGACAGCACCCCTTCCCGACTTCACCATAGCCACACACAACAGCCTGCTTCCCACCAAACATTATATCCGTACTACGTTTCAGCGCATCTATTATACTTTCACTGTAAACATATTTTAAAAAATTTTGAAATCTATATAATATAATGTAAATTATATGTTTGTAATTAGGCTAAACATGATGAAACACAGGACTACATCTGTCAGGTCTATAGTAATATATATATATATAGCATCTATGTATAGCATCAACAGCAACAGTAGTCAATTGATTACTTGTAAGTAATAATGAGTATGGAATCACTATTATCGACTGTTGAATAATCGTTATAGAACTAGCAACATTGGCAAATTCAATAATTCACTAGTATTAACGGTTTGGCAGCTGACAGTAACACTATTGCTCCGACATAATAAATTACATTTAATAATTAAATTTACAACTTTAACTATCGACCAATGAATAATCGTTAATTTATATTAATATTGGAAAAATAAATAAACCACAAGTGTCAGCGGTTTTAAACTGATTTGACTTTGACATCAATTTATAAGCTTTGACGGCTGGAAGTTACGTCATTGGTTCCTTTAATAGTATACTATTATGGGACATGACGACTCCAATAAAATTTATCAAAATAGATCAAGCTTGGGTTATACATGGGGCTAACTGTGCACTTTAGCGGAAAGAAACTCACCGGCAAGAATACAAGTTGTCAAACTTGGTTTTAGTGACCGAGTCGTTGACATTCATTGCGGGAACGCACAATTTCCCCGCTTTACTCAGCTGGTATAGTCTGTGGACGCCTGTCACACTCTCTTCTACTATACCTGCAATTTGTATTTTTTTTTATTATCCTAAATAGATGATGCTGGGATAAGTATTAACACAATATAGAATTCTAAATATCTATAGTCATATTTGGTTATGTCGGTAAGCATGTAAGTAAGTAAGTATAAGTGAGTAAGTAAGTAAGTGAGTGAGTAAGTAAGTAAGAATGGAGGTTAGTAAGTGAGTAACTTAATAAGTAAGTAACTAAGTGGGTAAGTGTATCTAAAGTATACGTGACTATAAAAACATCTATTTACCTTTGATCTGTTTAAAAGCAGTTGGGTGCTTCTTAAGCATGAGGTGCGTAGCGTCTCCTCCATCATCAAGAATCATGTTTGGTTGCCAAGAGGCTGTCGGCGTACAACATTGATCAATACACCACCAGAATGCCTCTTCACTTTCACCACGCCAGGCGAAAATCGCGAAACCTATAAAATGAAAAATATTAGCAAGATTCCAGCGGACTGATGTCGCTGCCTGTACTGAGGGTACACAGACTCATATAGTCAACCCGAAGTCAGGTGATAGGCCAGGTAGTGGACATCCAATACCAAAGCGTAGTTTTAAAGAATTGGTACGCTCCTTTCTTAAAGGACCCTAAGTCGAATTGGTTCGGAAATACTTCAGTGGGCAGCTCAGCTCAGTTGTGGTGCCCAAACCTGTCGTAAACAACGCTGAGTTGTCAAACGACGGATGTCGAGGTGATACGGATGGAATTTCGTATTCTGCCTCGATGTCCGATAGTGAAACTCAGCTGCAGGTATAACCGAACAACTCTTAACCCTCTCCATGGTAAATGCGGTAGAAGAAGCAGAGATACCCCACACCTCTACGCAAAGCAAAGACGCTCGGTAAGTGACTGGTCGTCGATGACTCGAACCGCTCTTCGTTGAATACGGTCAAGTGGAAGGAGTGTACCAGACTGGGGAGCTCGTCAAAGTTATCATTTAACAGCATATTATTCTAAAGAAATGTAAACTTACCAGCGTGCGCCAGCGCAGCAGCTACTTCGTTCTGCGTGCTATAGATGTTACAGGCCGCCCAACGGACTGTCGCTCCCAGTGCCGCTAAAGTTTCTATAAGTACCGCCGTTTGTGCGTTTATGTGTGTGCATCCGACGATCTGGAACATTTTCATAATTATAATATTATTGATAATATAATGATGAGGGGTGCTGCTCTTCCTTCCACCTAAAAGGATTCCTCGACCAGTCTAAGCACTGACACGCCCGAAGATCCCAGGATTTATCAAGTTATATACTCAGCGGGAATTAATTATTCGATTGCGTTTCAGAATAAGACGTCATCATAATTATTTTAGCGACATATGGAGGAAGGGTGATCTTCCAACCTAAAGAGAAGATCCTCGACCAGTCAAGCCATTGCCTGGCCCGAAGGTGCCAGTGGCTGATGTCGAGAACTTGCATATATGCTCAGCTGGATATACTTAGATTGCGCGTTGAAGGGTCCGACGTCATAAGCGATAACCCACATCGGAGTGAGGAGAGTATACGGGTATTCTAAGATGTTTATAAAAAAAGTACACTTTTTTACATAGGCCTTTTTTCTCAGGGGCAAACGGGCTGCTCATCTGATGTTAGGTGATAGTGTGTACACTACCAGAAGGCAAGGGCGTTGCTAAGGAATCTGTACGCTTTGGAAGAACACTGTAAGAATTTGATCGGAAATACTTCAACGGGCAGCTGGTTCCAACTAGCAGTAGTGCGCGGTGTGTGCCTTAAAACAGTTGTGGAACGTGGGACATCGAGGTGATGCGGTTGGAAGTTCATGTTCTACCTCCTACCTTGGTGTACCTGGTGATTCTCGTGTCAGAAGACGCAGGACGTCAGCTTCAATAGGAATTGGAACTTAATGACTCAAAGATGTTGATTGCGATAGTTTTTCCAATTTCCCCCAAAAGACTTACCTTTGCCTCCTTCAATGGCTTGTCTTCTTTGGCTCGAGCCCTCAACGCCATAATCCCTGGCATCTCCTGTTCAGCAATTTCGATTTCTCGTCTTCCGAAAGCATGCTGCTCCACATTGCGCACACAGTATGGTGGATTTGGTTGACCAGCGGCGATTGCTTTCTCATGCGGCTGGACACCTTCATCTTCATCTGACGACGACCCTGAAACATTTATATTATCACTAGTAGACTCGGCCAAGCGTTGCTCTGGCTAAGATTTTTGTCATATTACATAGTAGTAAACTATTCAAGGGAAACGGTAGGAGAACTTATGTGAAAGGTAGATGACAGCTTATGTGAAACGTTGATAATTTTAACACAGCGCCATCTGTTAGAATTGTATCAAATAATAAACAAATATTTTGCAATAAATTAAAATTGCGACTATAATTTGAGATTTAAACTATCCTATCTCTCAAGTTGGATCGAACTGCACATGGTGTGCAAATTTGATTGATATCGGTTCGGTAGTTTAGGAGTCCATTGAGGACAAACATTGTGACACGAGATTTATATATATTAAGATTTACATAAATTTATAATTTATTGTCAAATCGTGGTCACTTATAGCCAAGATTTTTATTTATTTTTCATATGTCTATTGCATGTTTTTGACCTTTGAATCTGACTCCTGAAAATGTTATTTTGCCACATTGCAATATGCCGGATTGATTTAGATCTGTTACTGGCAATATTTTGGCTCCCTGTAATGACATTTAATATAAAAATAAATCAGTAGCGCTACAACCTCTTTAGGTCTTGGCCTCATATTTTTTCATTTATCATTTTTAAATCTAATAGGCAAGTAAGTGATCAGCCTCCAGTGCCTGACACACGCCGTCGACTTTTTGTCTGTAAGACATGTCGGTTTCCTCACGATGTTTTCCTTCACCGTTCGAGCAAATGTTAAATGCGCACATAGAAACAAAGTCCATTGGTGCACAGCCGGGGATCGAACCTACGACCTCAGGGAAGAGAGTCGCACGCTGAAGCCACTAGGCCAACACTGCTCGTGTAATGACATTTATACATTCGTATTCATTCCTTGCATTCAAAACTACAGGGCAGATTTGATCAATTATTCCACCATTAGAATCCTACGTTGTCTCTGATGAACATAGGCTATATATTTCAACAACTTACGGAATTAAATTACGATAGTGTAAGGTGTGAAAATACCAATAAAGATTCCTATATGCTGCGGAAACTATTGACAATACACCAATGTTCTACAGTTATATAGAAGACGTCAATACTCAAAAGTTTTACATTTAAGTCTATTTACCGAAAGCTTTAGGCCATAAAGAATATCGAGCTTACTGATTTAATTCGGGTGAAAGAGCAGAGCACAACTATTCATACATGCAAGATACTCATTTGGATAATTTGCTTCCACTGACAAGTATTTTGCATTAGCTACAGCTATTCAATTGAATTCAATATCCTAGTCACTCCAATCTGTCAAGTTAGCTAATGCATGGGCGCATGGATTTTTAAGATTTTGAAGTAAAATTCTCCGTGTGGCGCATTAGGGAAAAATGATGAGAGTATTTTTTTACGATGCGCGCACACCGTCACATAAAACCGACACCCTGAAGTTAGCATGGTCAACATTTAAAGAAAACACATTTTTACCGGATTAAAGTTATGTATTATTATAAACTTATAATTATTTTACATAATTTAAAAAATTCCGACGTTTCGCGTGCTTTACAGCGTATGGTGACTGAAGACAAAAGGTGTTGAATGTCAAAAAGTATCACAGTAGAAAAAAATTTATTATCTGTATTTATAATTAAATATAATATTAAGTTAAAGTAAAAGTATAATATTAAGTAAAAATTAAAGTAAAGGAAATATATAATTATAAGTTTATAATAATAGATAACTTCAATCCGGTGAAAAAGTGTTTTCTTTAAATGTGTAAAAGTTATGTTAATAAAAGACAATACTATGGTCAACATTTTAAAATAAAAAAATACCTATTTTATAATGAAATAAACTTTATGTGACTAGATAATGCGTTAGGAAGCGTTCATGTTATACGTCACGCAATCAATCCCCGCCCCGCATCGTAACGTTTTACAAAAGGACCCCCTCCCCCTACCAAAATTCTTTACGTAATACTTGAACGCCCCCTAATAATAAAGCTTTCAATGTATAAAATACCTTTTTTCTATTGTTAGTGTCGTTTTTTCTATAAACGTATTATAAGGCGAAAGATAAAATTTTTGTAAAGATTTTTATCTTGTTACGCCAAAGAAGTATAACTTCTAACGCGTGTACATAAGTATACACACATGTTTTTTAAATCTTTTTATAACTCCTACCAACCAATGTTACTACTTATTAACAATCATTTGATATCGGAACTGTCTGTTCAACAGTCATCATCAGACCAATCATATGATAAAGAGTCTTCTACTGTACTGCCTGGTCTAATGACAACAGCAGCATGAGCAAGGCGACAGACCTTACCAATTCACTCAAAAATTGCGTATTGCGTAAACTCTCGTGTCAATAAACTACGAAACGTTTTAACTGATTTTGATGAATTAGTGAATTCGGTAGGTCCGAAAACTATTTGCACCCCTAAGTAACCCCTGAAGTAAGCCGCGCCAATGTCTATTTTATAGCACTGTACTTACAGAAATCACTTCTCCCGGATATAATGGAATGTCTCTTCTTCAATGATGGGTCTTCCACAGTTATTGTATTTTTTAATATTCCTGATGTAGGCATTGTTTATACTGGTGATCTTAAGTCTAGCAACGAATGTCGTGTTACAGATTCACTGAACTTGGATTTTAAGAAATTTCTTTCATGAAGAAATTAACACAAAAATAAATAATACCAATATATATGTTTTATTGGTGGTGCTGCTGACTTATGGTCCTGAAACCTGGCCTCTTAGCAAGAAAGACGCTTTCTCTCCTAATTTACGAGCGGAAGATTCTGTTACGAATCTTTGGTCCTGTTTGCGATGACAGTGTTTGGAGAATTCGCTACAATGAGGAACTTTATAACATCCTAGACAACGCCAACGTCGTCCAATTAATAGAGCAACAGGCAAAAGTGGTTGAGACATTTGCACCGAAGCCGAACGACAGAAGAGACAACCCGGTAGACCGAGGCTACGTTGGTGGGATAGAGTTGAAAAGGACCTCGAAACAAAAGGGGTTCTAAGTTGAACGCGGGAGTCACTGGATGGATTGCCATAGCGAAGTGTACTTAAGGAGTGCTAAGGCCAACAAGGGGCTGTATGCCATTCTATACATGAAAATCTAAAAAACCCCATTATCCGAAATTGGAGATATATCTTATCTAAAAGCTTAATTTAAATACTTTCTTAAAGAGTTTACCGTATCAACGGGATGAACATTAAATGTTTAGCAGTTTCGAAAACCGTAAACATTTCAATTTTTTCGTTATTTTCCAAGGCTTTTAATAGTTTTTCTGACAGAGACGAAGACAACAAAAATCCATGAAAAGCGGTCCAACCGCTATCGAGTTATGTACCCATTAGACTTAATTTAATATGTTGCTAAGCTCAAGACTTAAAGACCAACTCATGTTATTTATTCCTTGAACTCTGAGGAAGGTTTTTATGAAGAGAAGGTTTATTTTGGGGAAAGCGAACAGTCTCTATGGGGTAGCATAGCAAAATGTTCCATATGGTATGGTATGGTATCTATCTCCGTAACGTAACTGCGAAACGAAGTGGGGCTGGAACTCTGAAGGTTTTAATGGAGAGAATGTAAAAATTGCTGTCTATGGAATAGTATAGCATTTCCATATGTTGGTATGTTACTAAAAAGGCAGGCTAAGTAAAATCTTAAGGCGAAAAGTAGTTTCCGGAGGCAGCTAGTAATAAACTAAGTAAAAAAGCTTACTCTGAAGTCCGGTACCACTAAAATCGGTGTCTATGTTTTTTTAGGAATCCCGCTGCAAGCTCAGCTCAAACAGTATTGGCGAACGTAGCTCTGCTAGGTTCTTTCCACGGCTACCGCAAGGGCGTCTCCTGTGAGACTCGAAACTGTGGACGCCTGAAGAGCAGGACGGGGGCTCACTGGAGTAAAATATGGGATTTCGCCTTCCCCGGTAAAGGCGGTTTTATGCTGGTCTGATTTTGATTTGCCGCGCGGGCTTTTGATTTGTCAGGTTGTCCATCTGCTGGACTATGGTATAATGGTAGTTCCGTTGCCTGCCCATGATTTCCCTTTGTCGTTTAAATATATTTTTATCGCTACTATAGAACCGGACCTAATCCAAGGCAATACCTAGAACTAATGTTGAATAACTAATTTACTACGCTGAATGCTGATATGAGTTGTAGATTGTTCAGACTTCAGAACTATTAAAATTTAAAGCTATAACAGATTTCCATATGTTTTGTTGTAACTTGTATTAGAACTTATACGGAATACCCATGTCAATTTCTGGTTTAGGCATGCATCATCACGATTCACGATAAATTTGTGAAAGATCAAAGAAGAATGTGCTCTTCCTCGTACCTAGGGAGGATCCTCTACCAGTGAAAGCATAGACTAGTACGAAATGTCGAGATGTATATATGCGCAGCGGGAAATGTTTCGATAGCGCGTTTTAAGGTGTGACGTCATCAGACTGATTGTAGGCGCAGACTGTAGACATAAAAACAAGCCTTGAGAATTAACTTGCCTTGAAAATTTGCGTGCGACTCTCATCCCTGAGGTCGGAGAACGACGGCTGTTAACATTCACTCGTACGAAGGAAAACATCGTGAGGAAACCGGCTTTAGACCCAACACGGTCTATGTCACAGAAGGCTGATCACCTACTTGCCTATTAGATTGATATCATGAAACCAGATACAGAAATCAGAGGCTTAGACCTAAACGGTTGTAGCGCCTCTGATTTTTTTTATAGAAGAACTGGAAACCCTGACCCGATCTTGCCAGGGCTTCCTAACTCTCACAATTATTATATCAGATCCAGGGATTACATCAATCTTTACCTCTCAATATCTATATCCATACATGGCGGATACGCCAGTGCACGATGCAGTATTATCGATTTTATATTTCAACTGGGATTTTCCGAAATTTTCAATAATAAAACCCATTGTAAGTACAGAACTTCGTGTGTACTTATAATCTTATAAATGCAATGACGTCACACCTTAAAACGCGCTATCGAAACATTTCCTGCTGAGCATATATACTTCTAGACATTTCAGCACAGTCTGTGATGAAACTGGTCGTGGTCAAGGATCCTCTCCTTTGGTAGGAGGTATACCTTCCTTCCTCTATGTCGGTACGATGGTCGATGACGTCAGTCGTCACACTTACAAGTTACAACGCGCTATCGAAACATTACCCGATGAGCATAATATATTCATCTCGACATTCGGGTCAGTTAGTGCCTAGTGGTTGGACTGGTCGAGGATCCGCTCTAAAGGTTGGAAGAGCATCTTCCTTCTTCCACAACGTTGTACCCCTTCCCGATAAAGAAGATCCCCACACAATAGCTGATCGGAGCAGGCTTCGTATTTCGTTCACTCCAGTGAGCTACCATCCTGCCCTTCAGACGATTGACTACTCCAGGACGCCCCAAGCCGAGGTCGGAGTCTCGTAGGACGTCCTTGTGCTAGTCGTGCACCTATCTGGGGCAGAGCTACGCTCGCCAAAACCCTTCAAGGCCAAAAGGCCAACTTGGTCTATATGTGTCAGGGACTATAAATCCTGAGATACATTCCATTCCTAACCCTAACTTAACCAACATAAAAACAATAGGTGGAACGAAACTCAATAATTAAAGTATTCCCGAACCAATTCGACATAAGGGCACTTCAAAAGTGCGTATCTAAAAAGGCCGGTAACGCACTCGCCTTGTCGCAGTGAATGCCCATGGGTCACTTAACAGCTAGCCCGATTACCACCAATTCTATCTAGACTTAGCTAGACATCAAAAATATTGACATATGAAGGTCGCGCAGTCTCCAATAAAAGAGAGATTCAGAAACGAGCCAGCGCCAACTATGTCAAAATCCATCACATTTAACCGACAACCGTGTAATTTTAAAAAAATTATCACATTACGCAAATAAAACTTGACATAGACGGCTACCATTTAATTACTTCGAAAAATCTCAGTCCTAGAACCCGAGACCGCGTAATGATAAACACTTATCCAAAGAAACCGAACATACATACATACGGCTTGTCATTTGTAAAAATAATTGAGAGAACTCGTATATAAAATATCAATGGTCGAAAAAATTTAAACTTCGAATTACACCTTCATTTTTAGGTCAGTATAAAAAGAAATCATAATTTAAAATATTGTAACAACAGGGATTGGTTTTTATAAAGTAAAAAGTAACTATTTCATTTGCAATATTATTTTATAGCGCATGCAAAATAAAAATAAATTAAGAAATTTTACAGTCAATTTAAATATCTATACACTTAATAACAGAGACAAGGCCATGTTAAAAATGACATAACATTTATATTCGAAATTTAAAATTCAACCTACGCCCATTTTTATCCATACAAACCGCAACAACACCAGAGATTCTTAAAACGAATTTGAAATCGAAATTACTATTCCAAAATATGTTAAATTAAGCCGAAGTCTATAAAACTCGTAACGAAACGCTATTCCAAATTTGAAATTAATTCGACCGTTATTCGAAGATAGAACTAAAATCGAACAAATTTAAAATCTGCAATTCAATGCCGTTCTAAATTTGAAACGCGACCAATTAATTTACTAATTCGCAACACCTAATCACAGATAACACACAGATTCGTCAAACTTAATTACTGCATTTCCACAACATTCGAAATTTTAAATTCTACACACAAATCGATAACCACACATTACGTCACCAAATCTAATTCCAATTTCGAATATAAACCAACAGATTAGTATTATTTACAAAAATCGTCCACAGATCACTCGTATTACGTGTTAAATAAATAAAAATATCAAAAACACTGCACTCGCGTGCTGCACTCGGTGCTTGACCGTCAACTGAAGTGAAATGTGTTGGCTTAATGCGGAGTCGGCTTTTTAACTTTAAAGGTTATTAGATCAACCGAGCTAGGGCCTTTTGACTTATGATAATAAATATTTAAGATATATTATATATATATAAATTAAAAATGCTTTTTTCTATTAATTGTATTTTTTTAACTGTTTAGTGAAGGAATTCGAATGTGTACTGTGCCCTTCAGGCACCAAGGTGGTCACTTAAGTGGTTTTTTTGGTTATAATATATAAAAATAAATAAATGATTCAGTGGCGCTACAACCTTTTTAGGTATGGGCCTCGGATTTATGTATCTGTGTCATCATGAAATACCTGTCGCCTATGGATACTCAATGCCAGAGGGCTCGCAAGTGCGTTGCCGGCCTTTTAAGAATTGATACACCAGTGATCTTAACCATTAACTGTGTATTCATGATAAGATTTTACGACACACTAACGAGTCGAAGGCTTTGTTAGAATCACGACGAACAAATAAACTCAAGGCAATAATATTTTACGATTTACGGAATATTAAAGATTTATTTTTCAAAAAATATTTCAACGTTATATTAAAAACAAATTCCTTAAAAAAAGTGCGTGCGTACAAAGTACACTTGTCAGAAGTGAAACTTCTTTGGCTAACAAATTTTTAAGTCTTGTTCATATATTTTATACAAATCTAAAACTTTAGATTTCCGAGACTTACAGGGAGGGAAAAGGAAGATA